CCGTCGTCGTACTTGTTCACCTGGATCCATCAATTTCCGTCACTAGCACCAAATTGAAAATCATGGTCGATTTTATCGGTCTCTCGAAACAGGGGAAGAAAAAAAGAGGTTCAGTACCTTTTTCTTGGGAGCCATGGCGACAATGGTGAGGGAATTGGATCTGGAAGGAAGCGCGCGGGCATGGTTAAAGGCGTGGCGGAATTTGGAACTGAAGAATTTGTTGGGAAGATGAGAGGGAGCAGCAGTGGCAGCGGCAGCGGCGGAAGATGGGGAAGCGACCGCCATTTTTGAGGGTGAAGGGAAGCTTCTCAAGGATTTTCTCTGCTGCTCCTTCAGCCAAGAATTACTGGGAGAGGAGCTATGGTTTTGCCACGTACAACGGGAGATCCCACTGTAATCTCATTTCCATTCATGTCCACCAATCAAATTCGTACCCTCCATTGCTTTATCTAAAATTCTCAATACTCTCTCTCTCTCATCTAAAGTAATATTCATAATATTTTATTAGTGATTATGGTGGAACTTGGTAGCCAAGAGAACCAAAAAGATTAAAACATCGCTCGAGTTAGTAAAATTCGACCTATTGTTTGAATACAAAGTAATGTGTTGAGTTAATACGGATTCCATTCACCGACCATGAGATTCATGATATGAGATCTGTGGTGGTGGATGGCGGGATGAAAAGCAGTTTCATATAATGCCACAACTCAACATTTGCGAATTAACACAAATAAATTGGAGTCCCAACGAGGTTTGGAAGTATTATTCGTTGACTTAGAGGTACGAGATTTTCTACCTTGAATTTCAATAGTCTCTCTTCTCACGTCAGGAATCAAATTAACACAAATCTCAAATGGTAAAAGACATTAAAAAAAAAGTGACTAACAAACTACAAACGATTAAGACTTCATTAAATTGTCCAATTCTATATGGTGTTCATAAGCATTCTAAAGCTTGAGTCAGTAAATTTCGAGACAGTACTGAGTAATGTGTTGAGTTGACAATGGTTCTATTCACCAACCATGAGATTTCTGGTGTAAGATCTATGGTGGTGGATGAGTGATTGAAAAGCGATTCTACTTAATACCTCGACTCAACATTTACTAAAGCTGGAGTCTAAGTGAGGTTTGAAAGATGATTCATGAACTTTGAAATACGAAGCTTTACACCTCGAATTTCAAGAGCCTCCCTTCTCTTCTTATGTCACATAGAAGATCGTTTTATGTTGCCCAACACAGTGTTTGAGCATTGTATCTTTTTAGTAGTCTTCTCCAACCGATTCAATAACGATTTTTTTTTTTATTGGGATGACAATACAGTAATCAAATTAACACAAATCTCAAATGGTAAAAGACATAAAAAGAAAATGATGTGACTAACAAATTACCAACGAATAAGACTCCTTAAATTGAACTTTCGCATGTCATTCTATAGGGTTCAAAACAAGATGAACCATCAAATTTGAGAGCAAAAATATATGATATAGTCTAGAAAATTGAAAACTTTGTTACCCTAAAGAGGTCTCTTCAGTGAGAGAGGATCTAGTTCACAGCATTTTATTGTTACCTCTTATATTTATAAGAAGAAAACAAGGTTCAAGAGGAAGGCGGTGGAGGGTCTGCTGCAGCATTTTGTTCAGCTTCTTGGAGGAGTTTCAAGACCTCTTCTTTCTTGAGAGCCAAATCCTTCATCTTGGTTTCAAGCTTCTCCAGCTTCTGTCTCAGTTTGGTTGGGTCTTTCTTGTCCTCAGGATTCTTTTTCTTCTTCTCTTTCTTCTCCTTTTTCTTCTCCCCTTCTCCTCCTTCTCCTTCTTCATGTTTCTCTTTATCCTTCTTCTCTTTCTTCTCCTTCTTCTCAACCTCCTCCCCCTCGTGCTTCTCTTCCGACGGCTCTCCCATGTTTAAATCTGCACAATTCCACTATAAAACAAAGATTCACAGACCAGAATCGGTTCAGTTAATGAATTGAAGGCAAAAGTGAATGGATTACTGGGCCTGCAACTCACCTCCATAAATATGGCAACCCATGGGCCAGAAATGTAATGTGGGTTGCCGAGAATTCAGCCACACGACTTGGTAAATTCTCTCTCCCATTTCATTTCTGGTGGTCCTGGATTCTTTAAGACATTTTCCACTCCAAAAAACAATCAAGACCCGTCAGAAAATCAAACGGAGGAATAAAGGCTGTGTCTGTATTATTCAATTTCTCAAATCAAATCTGATATGTTAGGAAATAATTTCATGTTCCAACTTTTCGGGACACAATTACAGCAAACTATCGACTCTGCTAGCCGATTAATTTCTCTATTTTCCCTCCATTTCTGTCTTCTCTCTCTCTTTTATTTCAAATACTGAAATAATTAGTCAATCGAATTCAAAAGGCAAAGAACGAAAGAACATGATGACAGCTCACTGCTTTTTCCCACCTCCCTTTTCACACTTTACTATGTTATTTTGGGGGCATCTTTTTCAACTCAACCAGTTTTTTTTTTCAACCCCCATCAATTTGGGGTACTTCTAATTATG